AGGCCATCCACCTAAAGTACAAATTTCTGGTTCAGCCCACCCTAAGGCCAGGGTGAATTTTAAGAACTGTGAAAAAATACTCACATTTACTCTCAACTGCAGTGTCCCTGAACCTGCCCATCAGCTCAGTGGGGAAGCCCTGTCCCCACCTGCCCCAAACCTCCTCCATCTCTGTCTTGGTCCTGTCACCCCCTCCCTTCCAGCCCATCTACCACACTGCTGGGGGCTCCGGGCAGACACCCGCATCCACTGCTAGCGAGCATATAAAACACTTTGGGGGTGGTGGTGGTATGCTTATGTATATAAAGGGATACTATGAATCTACTGATTATCAAAATAAAAATGTTAATGATGTAGAAATATAACATCTGTTCAGCAGAAAGAACAGATAATAAAGGGTAAATACAGTGTAGTCTCAATTCAGTTGGAAAAAAAAAAAAAGCTCTCACAAACACACATGTATACTCCCACACACACAAATGTGGGCACAGAGGGGAAAAAAAAAAGACTAGAAGAAAATGTACCAAAAAAAAAAAAAGAGCAGCTATTATCGGTAAGTGATGACGTTATGGGTAATTTTTATTTTCTCCCTTTCTACATTTATCAAAGTCCTCAAAGCCACGTGTTTTATCTGTTATGTATCTGCAATTATTTGTCTGTCTGTCTGTCTATCTACCTACCTGTTGTTGTTATGTGCCGTTGAGTCAGAACCGATTCATAGCGACCCCTCCTTGGGTTTCGGAGGCAGTATCTATCACTACAGAAGTAGATTGTCCCATCTTCCTTCTGAGGAGTGGCTGGTGGGTTTGAACTGCCAGCCTTCTCGTTAGCAGTCAAGTGCCTTAGGCATTATACTACCACAGCTCCTATCTATCTACCTAGCTCATCTATCGAGAAGAACTCTTAGTCTCCCAAGTATTTTCCCAATAGACATCCATCCGTCCATTCAAATGACGCCAAGTCTTTAAGTACTTCTCCTTGACCAGGTGTGTGAACACCATTGGGCCCCAAGCTGAGGGGCTCATCCCCAGGACGCGTGGCAGCCCTGGGGGCCTCCAGTACCTTGTAGCAGACTTGCACGATCTGGATGAAGATGGAGAGGGGCAGGCGGAGGAGGAGATCGCTGACAAGAGCCCAGCCAAAGCCGAAGTCCCTGTGCACTGGGATGGGGGGGATGTAGCGCATCCACGAAGCTTCGTTCACATACACTAGGGGACAAAAGCGCTGTCAGTCCCAGTACAGGGGCCCCGTCACGTCACAAGGTCACTCGGTTCCCTCTGACCACAGAACCCTACTGTTCAGTCAGGAAGTAGGAGAATGAAGGGAGTGGATTATGTCTTCATTTTGACCAGTGGTCTGTGTGGGAATTCAGGTAGGTTAGATGGTAAGGAGAAGGAACAACCATGTTTTTCTCTGGATCCCACCATGGCCTGCCTGCCCCAGTCACAGGCATGACGAGGTAAGCTCACCTGTCTGTGTGTCGGGCTCCACCTCAGTCTCCAGGGTGATGCCGCCTTCGCTGTCTCTGGGCGGGGCATCAGAGGGGGCCTCTGGGTCATTTCCGGAGAAGGGCTGGGCTCCTGCTCTCCCAAGCTCCTGCCTTCCCAGTCTCCTCTCACTGTGGAAGCTCCGCTTCTCCAGCATGTTGCCATCAGGGTGTCCATAGATCAGGTACCAGAGAAACACGTGGACCACCCGCAGGCGAGGCATTTTGGGCAGAAACCCTAGAGACCGCCCAAGTCCAGGAACTGAGGCAAGAAAGAGGGAGGACAGTGCTTGAAAAACCCCAGGTTCAAGTCATTCAAAAAGCATCACATCCCACTATGTGCCCAGAAAGACAGCAGGGGATCAGACAGACAGATCGTCTCACCTTTGTGGAACTTACTTTCCCAGTGGGAAAGGACAGACAGTAATAAAAGAAAGAAACCAGTATGTCTGATAATACAGCTGGTAAGCAGAAAAGAAGGAAGGGAGAGCAGAACTGAAACTCTACAGACAGAGGCCAGGGAAAGCCTCATGGGGAGAAGCTTGGAGTGAAATCCCATGGCTGGTGAGGGAGGGGTCATGCAGACGCTGGGACATGCAAGCCAGGGCAAACGCACAGTGCCTGAGATGAGTGTGCGCCGGGCCACCCGAGGAAGGGCCAGGAGGCCGTAGCGCCGGAGAAGCAGGGGAGGAGAGCGCACATGAGGCTGGAGTGTAAACGAGCAGAGAAGCAGCATGAAGGACCTAATGGCCACTGTGGAAGGGCCTGTGGTTGATGGGGCTGTGCAAAAATCCCCAAATCTACGTTCTTTTAAAGCACTTTCCTTCTGGGTTGGTACAGATGAAGCTTTCCTTGACTATCCCCAGTGAGAGGGCAGCGTGAGCAAAGGTAACAGGGCAATATGGACAAGCGACCAGAGGCTCCTTCTCCACGGTCCCTTTGCTCATCTGAGGACCAAACCACTGCCTCTGTCTACGTAGCACATGTGCTCCTGGGACTGAGTCCTCGTCGCCATGTGTCCCCTTCCATCTGCATGTTTTCCAACATAAAACCTCGAGAGGCAAGGCCAGGATAGTGGGATCCTCAGGAAGGGCAGTGGACAAACCACTTCTGCAGTTTGGAATCCCTGGGACCCGCTGTGTCCAACTGCAGAGCACTTTCTGCTTGACTGAGGTCAGTGCCCTGCACGTCAAGCCTGCCCTGCTCCGCTGACATGCGTGCAGTGGCCAGGAGAAGAGCGGAGAGCCCGGTGACGACACCCTGCAAGCCACACCAGCCCAGCACATGTGCACATGGAGCGGCTTGGTGAGGGAGGGAGGAGGCAAGCCCGCCAGAGACCTGGTGTGGGGAAGAGCACGTGAGCCCTCAGGTCTGCCGGTAGCACCTGCCGAGGGCTGACGGGGTCGGGGGGCAGACTAGGGCTCACAAAATGCTCCAGCCCACGGATATTCACAGACGGAGTTAGTCTTTGTGAACCATTCTCATACCGGGGACTGACATACTTTCATTTCTCTTCCAACAGCCTTGGGAGGCCTGCTGGGCAAGAACTATCATCCCCATTCTGCAGACAGGGCAACCAACGCTGGCAGAAACCACGTAACAAGCCCCACGCGGCCCAGGCGATAGGTCAGACTGGAACCTCCTGACTGCTGCACAGTGCTCAGGTGTAGGGCACCAACTCACTCCAACGTCATCAGGCTAACAAGAGAAACACAATCAGACACTGACGGAAAGTGGCTTTTTACCTATAACGGGGTGGTAGTTTTGAAGCTGGCCTACGTCCGTTTTCTCATCTGCTTTCTTCATCCGGCCACCGTCAGCTTTAGAGGAACCATTCAGGTAAGAGCATCCTGACCCACTGGGACCTTCGTTTTCTTGACTTTCCTCATCCTCCTCTCCTTGGGACGCTGAAGGCTGGGGAATTTTAACCCTGCAGTTGAAATACAACATGTGGTAATACATTGAAAGAAAGGACAGGGGCTCTCAATATGAACTGCATGAAGCCATGTGGTCTCAGGGTATCCAATTCAAAGGCTAGCAGGAGCTGGACAGATGACAGAAATTAATAAAATGTGCTGGGTCACTGAGACACATGGGTAGTGGGGACCCTCCCTTATGGAGCAGCTGCTACCTGATGAGACAGGGAGCCCTACATGCCAGGTCTGACATTTAAAGTCAGAAACGAAGACCTTTATGAAAACCCACCAGCACCCGTTTCACAATATATGTGGGCCGAAAAAAGCCAAACCCAAACCACTGCCATTGAGTTGATTCAGACTCATAGTGACCCCCACTGGGTTTCTGAGGTGGTCAATCTTCATTGAAGTAGACTGCCTCATCTTCCTCCTGCAGAGCAGCTGGTGGGTTTGAACTGCCAAATACCTTACCCGCTATGCCACCAGAGCTTTATATGTGGGCCAGTAGAGGGCAAACCACACAGGACAGGCACAGGTCAGAACAGCCCCTGCCTGCCTGCTGGCAAGCTCTGATTTAGACTTAACCCAGAACTCTAACTTTGGAGTTTCCTCTCAGCCCCCCGGGAGGTTTATGAACAAAACCAGGGACGACTTCAGGAAGGCGGTAAGATTCATCGGTGAGCGGACAGGAGCCTGGCTGAGGTCCATAAGTCACAGAGCCTATGACTGGGAATGCTCTGTCCACATTCTACAGACAGAAGGGACTCAAGAATGGTACGGTTTGTTTTGTCCCTGAAGAACCCAGAAACTGACCCTTGTTTAGACTACGGGATCATGGATCACAAACCCTAAACCAACGAAATCACTGATCTCATACCAGTATAAATAAAGGGCTGTTCTGAAAATTGCTTTAACATGGAATCAGCTTAGCTGTGAACCCTACCAGTGCTCTGTCACTTGCCTGTTTGCTGTGCTTGAGTTGGAGATGCGGAAACGGACCTGCTCGATGGCACTTCTCACAAGAGGGTCATTCTGGTCCATGGATGGGTGCACCACCAGTTCCACCTGCAGAGAGAGGTGGGTGCATCCCACAGAGCGGGGGCAGAGTTGAGGGTGGCATAGCTACACACCTCTGCTCCTTAGTTCAACAGTTACACCTGTTTTCATTAACATTTCCAAAAGACAGTAAGATCGGAGCAAAATGGTTGCTAAAGAGCTTGCTGTTACAGCTACTGGCATCAAAACCCCTCGTGTGGCCAAGCAATAGAACTCTGCCATCAGTAACGTGGCTGCTTCGCTCAGAGGAAGAGTTCTGGCCATGAGGAAGAGCCTGTAACCTCTCATGCAACGGTCACAGCCCATAGGGCTCTGCTGCCCAGTGCAATGCTCCTGGTGTCCCATGGCTGGGACCTGAGGCTTCTCCACAGCTGTGCGGGAATCCTGAGGGTTTTCATCTGGACAAGGTCAGCTGCTTTCATTAATCTCCCTTCACTGGGAGTGTCATCATGGGACTCCTGCCAGGTGCCCTTCTGAACAAACTGGCAAGGCTGGGAGCTGCTTCTGTTGTTGCACCTTTACCAAGGAACTGAAGCTGAACGGATAAGGTGGTGATCATTTCAAGAAGGATATGGAGGGTGAGAAATGGAAACTGCTTGGGAGGGAACTGATTATAAAAGCCAGCAGAGCAAGCAGACGGCCAGGCTTGGTGACTGGGGCCCTAGGACTGGGCCTTCTTCTCGTCTCTGTCCTCGGCAGGAGAGAGCGAGGTGAAGTGTTTTGGAGTTGGTAATGCTGGCCAGCAGGCTTCGTCGCTGACAGGCAGCACTGCCTACAAAGGGCTGCTAAGAGCCCATGCCCTCTCCACTGTACTGGGTTCAGTCCTCTCAGCTCTTTCTTTGTCATGGAGACCTGCCTCCTGCCAACTTTTCTGTGGTTCTGTGAGGCTCAAATGAGACAGTTAGGCGACAACTCGGAGAACTGAATGGCGTGGTACAGAAGTGCAGCGTTCTCGTCTGCCCGCTTTCCACAGTGCAACAGGCCAGCACGCTTCCTGCAGGTCCAGCTATACGGCAGATCAGGAGCAGAGCACGGGGCTGATTAGCTGCACCCGTAGCTTAGCTCCAACAGGCCAGGAGGACACCATAGTATACCCTCAGAGTGCCAGGGGAAGTCCCGCAAGAAACTGAAGATAACCTTGCATCCTTTCCAAACGGAAAGGTGGGCTCTGTAGCGGTGGCAGGAGGTCTCCATGACCAGGCCCTTTTTGTTCTGAGGTCAAGTGGTCTTACCGGCTGCATCTGTGTCCTGCTCCCTCTGGTCCAGCCAGGGGGATTCAGCAGTAAAAAGCAGCTGGAAGACACAGCTGGCACCTATGCCAGAGGCCCTCCCGCTCCATCCCTAAGTGGGGGTGGGGTGGGGATAGTCTTGCCCTCCATTCCCACACTGAGAAGGGAGCAAGTCCCAAGGAGCTGACTAAGGCACAGGTGTCTGAAGACCAACAGAAACCAGGTGGGGTGTTGCTGATGGGCTAGGCTTATCCTGCACTGAGAGAAGCTGCACAGGGTTCTACTGCCGCTGCTCAAGGCGACAGGGAGGGGGGACAGGGCTGAGGGGACCTTTATTGTTTTATTATAAAAAGACCCCAGGCACATATAAAAATGATGAGCGCTATCAACTTGGAATGGTAGAAACAGTATTTCTTAAGTCATTTTTTGAACAGCTTGGCATTTTTCAAATTTCTCCAAAAATAAAGAGAATGTGAAAATAAAAACAGAAATCACCTTGTCAGCTTATTAAAAAACAAAGTATCAAAGCAAAGCTTTCTTCAGGCAGAGATTTAGAATGCAGTCAGGAAGAAAGGTCAGGGAATTAAAAGTGACTGTCCCACAGCACCCTTCCCTTTGGTCTTAGCACGCAGCTGTGCTGCTTCAAATTACTCCAACCCTGGAACACTTGTGCTTTAGAATATGTAGAAAGCAGCTGAGCTATGGTTGCTATGGGAATGACTCTAAACCTTAAATTTTACAGAAACAGATAAATTAGTGGACAGAAAAGATATACTGCTCCCACTGGGTAACCCCAGCAGTGCACCCTAATTGAGTCCCTGCCATTACTTCCTCTGGGACATGTTTCCTCAGATCTCTACGGAAAACATTCTTGCTGCTGATCTGTATCTTCCACCTTCTAAATGTTACTTAATTTCTCCTAACATTACTCTGCTGAACTGTAATATGGCAGCCCTTTCCTCTCTCTCTTTTAAGGCTGGCGGTGAGCTGATCACTGCCTTGGGTAACAACTTTACAAAAGGATGCCGTTCTAAGATCTGAGCAAGTGAGTGAGCTTTTCTGCTTCCAGCTTCCACATCAAATGGGGATAGCCCTGGCTCCCCAAATTAGGAGGCAAAACAGGAAATTCTGAAATACTGATAACAAAGGACCATTGAGATACAATGACCAGAGGGACTGGACAAGAAAACTCCCAACAACAGGCATACAGGGTGAACATTTACATCAGGTAGATACACTCCTTGGAACAAGCAATCGTGGGAGATCAGAAGGGCAGTATTTGCACAGGGAGACAGCTCAGGGCACAGAAGTGCACAGGAGAAAAGGACATAGGGAAGAGGTAACTACAGGGAGGAAGTGGGAAGAGAGCTGTTCCCCTGTGGGGAATTGCAATCAATGTCATGAAACAAAATGTATAGGAACTACTGTATGGGAAATGAATTTGCTCTGTAAACTTTCACCCAAATCAAAATTTAAAAAACAAAAAGAAAAGAAAACTCCCAACAGATTCTGGCTGGCTTTGGGAGAGTCACGAGGGCCCGTGGTTACCTTCTTCTTGATACCATCTTGAATGACTGTAGTTCGATATAGTCTCAACAGACCTTCCTCAGACAGGTTCCGCACCAAGCGGACAATGGACTTCTTACAGCACTTGGTGGACACACCCTCTTGCTTCTCCTGATCCATGATCATTTTCTGAATCCTGGGGCAACACAAAATAAGCAGGCAATATATCCAACCTCAACATAGAAGGCTGTTCTCAACCCAGCGACCGAGACCTGCCAAATGGCGCTAGCAGAAACTAGGGATGAACCGAAGGGGGCTGTCACCCTGGCAAAGGCTAACTTCTTGAAATATTACAGATCAGCTCTCGTTGTGGGGAGTTAGCTAAAAACAAGCAATCATTCACAGCAGCGTCACACTCTGAGTCATGCACCAGGAACTAAAGAGACGACATGATTTGATTTGTGACACTAATGGCAAGGGAAACCAAGTGCCATGAGGGACATCTATCCTCACTCAGTCTACATGCTAATGTAGCATCCGGCTGAAGAATGTTTTGGTTCACCAGTGACCTCTCAGGTCTGAAGCTCTTTTTCATTCCTTTCTTGATGTATGTGTCTTACTTTCTAGATCTTACTGAGTCACTCTGGTAATATTTCTAGATCACAGGTGACAGGATGGCAGGGCTGGAAGGGATAGTAAGAACACCTAGCCAAACTCCAAGGGGCCTTGGTGATGCAGTGTTTAAACACTTGGCTGCTACTTGCCAGGCTGACAGTTCGAACCCACCAGCAGCTCCACAGGAGAGAAGACCTGGAAATCTTCACCTGTAACAATGACAGCCTTGGAAACTCTCTGGGGCAATTCCACTCCATGATACAGGGTTGCTATGAGTTAGTACACCACAATAACAGCCAAACTCATTGCTACACAGAAGAGGGGACCAAGAGGACGGTGTTTGCAGATGGCCTCCCTTCCTCCTACTAAGAGACAAAGTGTATACAAGAACTCATGTCCCTTGACTCAGGTGTAAGTTTCCTTCTAACTGAGTAGCTTTCACTTAACCCATGAAGATGCTGCCTCTGGAAGTGGTGGCAATGATGTATTAAAAGACCAATCCAGAGCTCAGAGCCTCTACTCCCACCCAAAGCACAGCTTCTGTCTGTCTCCTTTATGCATCCATATAGGATTCTGTTTAAACTAAAGGCTCCATGGAGAACTAAGATAAAGCCAGTGCTATCACCTGTCTAGGTTCTTCTTAGTCTTGCCTTAGAACAAACTTCCAAGAAAGGAGAAAGGCAACTGCATTATCCCCATGACTTCAATTTCTTGCCCAGCTCTCCTTGTCTGTTACTGCTGTGTGCTATTGAGTCATTCCAACTCACAGTGACCCTACAGCACAGAGCAGAACTGCCCTGGAGTTTCCAAGGCTGCAAGCTTTATGAAAGCAGAGTGCCTTGTTTCTCTTCCAAGGAACAACTGGTAGGTTTGAATCATGGACCTTTTGGTTAACAGCAGCGCACTTAACCACTGTGCCACCGAGGCTCCTTCTGGTCTAGAATATCATTATTCCTCAATGTCTACACTTTTCAAACAACAAGAACAAACTCTAAATTCTGTCTACCACAAGAGATCCTGTACGAATCTGTCCAGTGGCCCAGAGATTCCACTGTCTCAGTCCTTTCTGTGACTGTGGTGGCGAACTGGTAGGAGAATTACCGTGAACGTGAGCAGACAGACACAGTACTCCTTACGTGAATAAGCTCTCGATTAAGCGGAGGTTGGTGACAGCTTCTATGATCAGGTTCCTGCGTTTCAGCAGACGGTAGGTCTCATGGGGCTTGTCCTGGTTTTGCTTCCCAGGCTTCTGGGAGGTGCTGCTCTCCTAGAATAGAGACAGAAGCACAGGGACATGCTGGCTCAGGCACAAGGCCGCACACCACGCACGCTGTCTCTTCACAGCGTGTTGACTCCGGAGTTGAAAAGGGAACATCTAGAGGACCGTCCGTCTTCCCCTACAGGATCCCACTGCCCTACTCAATGCTTTCAAATAGCAGACGCGTCGGCCAGCAGAGGATCTCAGGAGCTTAATGAAGATCAGCTAGCTGGTTTCAGAAAAGAACTTGGAGACATCCTCTACAGCAACACCCAAGGGAGGAGCTGTTCTTCCCCAGGGAAGGGAGGAAATGACACCCAGACGGACGACCACATGTGGCTTTTTCTCGGGAAACTCTTAACAACCTCATTGCCACCATTTCCGTTTCCCAGACGAGGAAACCTGGGCTCCGTGAAGTGGGGCAACTGCCCAGGGTCAGAATGTGAACGTGTGCCAGGGGGCTCTGCTCCTCTCATCTGTCTCTACGCCAGACGCCCCTTCCAGCAGCCATGCTGATGGGAACCAGGGACGGCTTTCAGGTTAAGAACGGCTTTTCACGGGCCGAGGTTAGGATGAGTGGTGAGTGAAGATGAACAGAGGAGAGAGCAGATCGTCACGTGCTCTTTGATCCCCACCAAAATGCCCATCTCTCTCCCAGTGCCTCCTTCTGGCGTCAAATGAATGTGCTCTACCCATTCTTGGATCAAAATAGGTCAAACCCCAAACGTGAACCCCGAGTGGAGAAGACTCCTATCTCAAACATTCCCCTTGCAAATCACTTGACAAAACTGGTCCTCCTAAGACAGCCTCAAGGGCATGCTTCACTTCCTGCCTTGAGTAGCACGTTCAGGAAAATGAGACTCGGCGAGCCCATTAGTGATGGTCAGAACAGCCAGATACCAATTCACTGCACCGATGGCTGCGTGGGGTGCCAGGTGAAGCACGGTTTTTTTCAAAAAAGGGGGGAAGGCCTGTAGAGCAAGAAATTCAAGGGATTCAAGAAAGCTCCCAAGAGTGGCAGAAAGACCTCGGTGTCCCTTCCCTGTCTCAGAGTATCTGAAGGAGAACCAGGGGAGTCAATGTGGCCACTCTTCACGAGGCTGCTGGGGAGCAAAGCTGAAAACACGTTCTGCCAAAACGCTCTGGGTTCCCACTGTTCCTCTCTGCAAGGTATGCAAAAGGAAGGACAGGATTCTGCCATGTCTCCGGGAGAAGACTCATAAGGGGAGCTGGGACACCAGTTGCAAGCCATTCTAACACCTGGGGGACACGTGCTTGCCGAAGACACATGTGAACCCAGTGAGCAGGTGTAAAGTGGGGGAGGCAGGCAGGGAAAGCCCGCAGGCACCTGCTGGGATCCACCTGCTGGATCCCAGGTCCTCAGGTAGAGAAAATGGCAGTCATGACCCTGAGTAGAGATATGCCATCCAATCATCAGCAAAGCGCACAAAGGGCCTAAGAAAATCTAAATAAAGCCTTCTTCCCCACCCCATGCCCCCATCGCTTTTGCTATAGAGGTATCACAGAAACACGGACCTCCATACCAGGAAGTGAGAAACCATGCAGGGTAGGGAACATGTCCCAGATGGGTCCTAGTCCTTACCTGGCCATTAATTAAGCAGACAAGTTACTCACTGTCCTCATCACTATCAGGGCTGAGGTCTACCTCATGGGGTGGCAGTGAGGCCTGAGTGGAACAGCAGCAGCAACCGCAGCAGCAACTGAAGCAGCGTCAAAAGCCACCATCACCCACCCGTCTACCTGTGCTAAGGGCTTCGTCCTCTGGCACTGCTTCTCAGTGCCACTGGCACTATCTGAGGCACTTGGTGACAATGGACATGGCATTAGGTGAACTGAATCACAGTGAAGATATCTCTGTGCCCACAGTCTTTATTTATTTTTTAAAATCTACAATATATTTGTTTATTCAGTTCTAGTATTCACATGAAATAGTTCAGAATTGCTAGTGTCCTGTGTCAGCTGTTTTCTAACCTTTCTCCCATCCAAGAACTAACCAGGCCCAACCTTACTTAGCTTCTGAGATCAGATGAGATCGGGTGCGTTCAGGGTGGTTATGACCATAGCCTAATCTTCCTCATCACATTGACGAAAAGGTACTGGTTTGGTTCTGGTGTATCTTTAACATCTTAACACAAAACAGTATCTACCCATAACATACTAATACAGTTTTGTTTTTATTTTATCTAGCTTATGATTACTTCTTTCATGGCAAATAATACTGACTTCCATCTGAAGCATGTTCCCAGCCTCGGCACTGCTGACAGCGTGGGCAGGCCATTCTCTGCCACGGAGGCTGCCGTGTGCACTGGAGGATACTTAACAGCACCCTGGCGTCCACTCACACCCTGCTAGCAGCATTCCCCTACCCGAGATGTGACAATCAAAAATATCTCCAGGTATTGCCAAATGTCCCTTGGGGAGTGGAGTGGGACTGGCCCAGGTTGAGACTCACTCAGCTAAAGGAGTGATACAAATTATCTTCCTAAGATAAATTTACTTAAGTAAAAAGATGTTGGATATGAAAGCATCAGGTAAATGCCACTGCAGGGATTTCCAGGCAGGGCTCAGATGGCACGGAGGCGTGCATATTCCCTATAGCACACAGTCTGTGCTCGGCAGGTAGCGAGTGCCTGGCACGGGCTCTGCACTGTTACTGATTTTGCTGTGGTTGAGTCTTAAGCACAGAAACGACAAGGCTGATGCCCATCCCCCACTGCCAGCACTGACCTTTGGGTTTTCCAGCCGGACCTCCTCAATCAAGGCTATGTCGCCACTATTCTTCTCTGTGCGGCGGGAGCTAAAGGGCACGCTGGTGTCTGAGAAGCCACTGGTATCGAGGCTGTCCCCACCGGCGGAGCCCCAGCAAGCTTTCTCCTCGGCAGTTCCTGGGGAGCCAGATGGTGGCTTCTTCAATGAGGGTAGGTTTGCAGCCTTCCACCCACCTGTAGGGTCGGGCAGGAGGCATTTATGCTCGGCCCCCACCAGAAACATGCAGATCAAACAATGTCATCTACAGCCACTTTGAAGACTAGCGTAGCAGACCAAGCAAGGAGCTTGATGGCCCTCTGCTAAGCTGCATTCGGGATTTGCCAATCTGTCACCAGCACCACCTTTATGCCTTAAACATAAACGAAGAATCTTCTACAAGAAACTGAAAGGTTCTTTAACAGATTACTAGAGGGAAAAGAATAGGAGTTTATGGCATTCCTATCCCTTTGATAGTAAAGACACAACACACAAATGAACAGAAAAATGTGCCAGGGACAAATGACAGCTGAGCAGCCAAGAGACAGACCACATGTCTGTCTCTGCCCAGTTTAGGCTTATCTGATGCAAGTGACACCATGAGACCCCAAATGAGGACAGTGTCTAGGAGATACTCCAGTTTGCAGAACAGAGGACCGGAGCGGGCGGCTTCTGAAGCTCCCGAGCACGTGGGTCAGTGGCAGCTCCAGGCACAGCCCCGGCCCACTGCCCCTCGCCTGAGGACGCTCCCTACCCTTGGCTGAGGTGGCACGATGGGTCCCGTCCCCTTGCGATCCTTTGCCTTTCCTCTTGCTGCTGCTGCTGCTCTCCTCCTCACTGTCCGACTCGGAGAGGAACGTGTCTTCTCCTTCCGGCAGCATGGACTCCTCCTGCACGGTGGCCAAGCTCACTGTGGTCAGGAGCTCACCTCGGGCTTTCTCTCTTTCATACTGCCGGCTGAGGTCACTCTCCTCGGCAAAAACGCAGGAGATGTACTTGGTGGTCCGCTGCCGCCCTTCATCTTCCATGAATCCCTGGGGGATTAGATGCGTCAAAAAAGGGCATTATTACACATTGGCATTTGAGTGATCTGAGCCCACAGTATATATGTCCTACTCTCAGCCCATGGATGCTCCCTCTCCAGCTTCCTGTCACTCCTTCCCAGCCAGTAAGGGTTTTCTAAATCACAGACCAGGAGCTCCTCAAGGTCAAGGCCTTAACCCAAGTCTTCCATATAACCCCAGTTTCTTACACAGGATTTGGTGCCTAAGAAATGGATCCGTAAGCAGTGAGCGTTTCTCACACAGAATTCCGCAGTTCAGAACTGCTACCACAGCTCCATTCAGCCACACTGGGAATGAGGCTGCCACCAATCCAATCCCATTTTATCTTCTAGAACAGGGCCCACAATGGTACCAACCATATGCCAGGGATGGCACTAAGTGCTCTGCAGTCATTAAAACCAAACCTGTTGTTGTTCAGAAATACTTCCCCTTTACTTTTGGAGGCAGCCACCCGTGAGGCTGCCAAGTTCAATCTGGATAAAGGGGCTTTGCTGTGTTGTACATGTATCAAAACAAGCATCAGAATGAAGAGATTGCTAGGATGCTTTCCTATGTTGAGTTAGATGGTAAGAGGATAAAGTGAGGGAGGAGGGGGTGAGAACAGTGTTTCCCAAGCTGAATTCTAAGGAACCCACTCTTTTTTTTTATTATTATTGTGATTTGGGTGAAAATTTACAGAGCAAATTCACTTTCCATACAGCAGTTCACATAGTCTTTGTCTCATGACATTAATGTCCACAATTTACCACAATGCAACAGCTACCCTCCCACTTCCTCCTCATAGTTACTTGTTCCCTCTGTCCATCCTTCCATGTGCTCCTGCCCCCTGAGCTGTCTCCCTGTGCATAAACAGCCCTTCTTTCTTAAGGAACCTACTCTTGGAGATGTTGAGAGCTGATAAAGCTGCCAATCAGCCTTCCCAAAAAGCTGCACCAATTCACCAGGGTGGCTTCATTACAACTCATGGCAACCCTGTGTGCTAGAGAGCAGAACTGCTCTAGAGGGTTTTCTTGGCTGTAATCTTTATAGGGGAGCTCTGGTAGCATAGTGTC